TGCCCCAGGAGGTGGTGAGATCCCAGGCACGGGAGATCTTCGAGCCAAGGCTGGAGGGCCCTGATCGGAAGTTGCTATATTCCCCCCAGAGGAGGGGAAGGGAGGGAAGGGGAATCTGGGCTGACCTAAGCAGGAAGGATTCTCTAAGGTCGAGAGATCATGGGATTCTTCATCGAGGCTGGATGGTGGCTTATCAACCATCAACCGTTGCTCCGTGGTGGTCTGTGCGTTGGGGTCAGAGGTTAGACTAAATGATCTCTAACGTCCCTTCAGAGCCTTCGGGTCTGGGCCTAATGACGTGATCCAGGAGAGGACGGTATCTGTGGATAGACGGGCTGTGGATAGAGGGGAAGCCGACGAGAGAATGACTCTTCTGGGGACTTTGCTCGGCCCGCGTCCTCCTCTTCCTCAGTGCCCAGAGCTGAGGAGGACTCGCCTCCCTCCCTTGCCCCGATTCAGCCCTCTTTCTGCTACCTACATCCTTGTTCTAACCTCTAGAATCGGGGCTTTCAGAATGTCTCATTTGCTTTCTGTTCTGAGATAGCTCCTCCCCTTTTATCTAAAATGTTCACGGCAGCCCCCAGTGTCTCATTCAACGGCTTTGATTGATTCAAGAAGATACACGGGCCCTATTCACACTCACTGGCTGAGTGGGTGAAAAAGGTTTCACCTAGCCAAGACACCAGAACCAAGTGAGTCTTACATGTATTTGTAGGAAAGTGATACCAAGATTGGAATCCAGGGACTTCCACTCCTTGGGTCTCTACCAACCTCAATGTTACTCCCCGCCCTCCCCACACTACCCATTTACATTACCTTAGGGACCTGGTGTGGGCAAGAGATGTTGGTCTAGGTTTTATTTTGGGTTGGACTGGCCTAGACTTTGGCCTGACTGATCCAGATTGTTCTAGGCCAAACTGTGAGTTTAGTTGGGCTGGGTTTTGGATTGGCCTAGATTTTGGCCTGACTGATCCAGATTGTTTTAGGCCACACTTTGGGTTGAGCTGGGCTGGGTTTTGGTTTTGGATTGGATTGGCCTAGATTTTGGCCTGACTGATCCAGATTGTTTTAGGCCACACTTTGGGTTGAACTGGCCTAAACTTTGGGTGAGGTTTGGCTGGACTTTGGGCCAGACTAGCCTAGATTCTGGACCATGCAGGACCAGACATAGGGCTGGGCTGTCCTTTGTCTGAGTTTCTCTTCTAGTCTTCCTGGCTGGACTAGAGTCCAGAGCTGAGTTCTACCTCCCCAGTCCTGACCCATGACCCCAAGATCTACGAGCTGTAAATATTTACATTTGTAAAGTAAACTCCCGGCTGGAGACATGTAGGCCTCTGGAGGGCTGGGGTGGAGGAGGGTCATGGGGAAGATGGAGCCCGAGGAGCCAGGCCCCTGTGACCGGTGACCTGAGCTGACCCTGGTCAGAGCAGCAGGAGGGGCCGGGTTTCCATGACCGGGTTCAGATCCTCCCTCGGACCCTTACTGGCCCTGTGACATTGGCCAAGCAATTTAATTCTTCTGGGTTTGGGGACCGTCCTTTCCCTTTTCAGTGTTCTATCACAGGGTGAAGGCACAGGCTTGGCTTGACGATGAACATGTGTGCCACATCTGGAAGGCAGTTAGTCAATTATTTGCAGTTTACCAAGCCTTCCATTTTCAGGGAAGGGGGAGGTGGTCTCCTTGAGGACAGGGGAAGGATGGGGGCAGAGGGAGTTGGGATTTAGCTTTCCTTCCTTCCCCATGCCCCCTCCAACACAGCAGCTGGCTTTGTTTGGGAGTTTTTTGGTTCTTGTAGTCAGTGAGGGGTGGGGGCTTCTCATGGTTGAGCACCCCCCCATCCCCAACTGACTCTGTGGAAAGGGACCTCAGAAGGCAAGAAGTGAGTGCAAGAGATAAGAGCAAAGTTGGATGGTTTAGCCCCTGGGGTGAGGGAGGGGTCCCCAGGGCAGTCATCACCGAGTCTGGGGACAGAGCGCCCTCTCTCAAATGAAGCCCAGAGCTGGACTCTTGGGGTCCTCCCTAGCCCAGGAACCTGGGGTGCTGGGGGTGGGGGAAGTCTTCTAGCTCCAAAATCTCAGTTTAGCATGAGAGACAGCTGGGGCTGGAGAGGGGGGTGGGTCTTTCCCACTAACAGCTGGAAGCAGATGGGTGTTCTTGTCTATGTCCCCCTGCCAGACCAGCTCTCCAGGCCTGTGGGTTCAGATTTTGTAAACACCCTCCCCCTGGCTTCCCTCCGTGCCCTGCTCCTTCCCCCCATCCAACCGTGTCCTTGACTCATCTCCTTAGCATCCCCACCCCTCTGGTCTCCCCATTCTCTGGGGTGCTTCCACCACCTCTGACCTGGACTTTGGTCTCAACAGGCTGTGTGACAATAGTAATAATAATAACAATAACAGCTAGCATTTGTATAACACCTGAAGGTTTCCAAAGCGCTTTACAAATATTTCATTTTGTCCTCACAGCAACCCTGGAAGGTAAGTGCTAATTATTTATACCCATTGTGCAGATGAGAAAACTAAGGCAGCCAGTTATGCCCCTTGCCCAGGGTCACACAGCTGGCAAGTATCTGAGGCTTGATTTTTAATTCGTATCTTCCAGACTCAGGCCCAGTGCTCTGTCCACTGAGTTCCCCTTTCAAGGGCTCACCCCATCTACCTGGAAAATGAGAACTCATTTTCTCTGTCTGTCCCCCATTCCTTCCCAACCACGGCTGCAGCAGCAGCCTGTGGTGATGGAAAGAACACTGGCCTGCAACGTATTCTCCATATGACCTTGGGTTAGTCACCTGAGAACGAGTGGATTGAGCTAGATGACCAGAAGGTCCCAAGCTTGCAGTTCCAATGCTGTGCTCTAGAGAGCCTAGTCACTTGCCCTCAGTTTTCCCATTTGAAAAATGGGAATGATAATCAGGAAGCAGTGTGTCATAGTGGAAAGTGCTAGATCTGGAAATGAGGGACCTGCATTCAAATACTGCTTCTGACTGTTACTACCCGTGTGATCTTGGGGAAGTCACTTGTCCCCCGAGTCTCAGATTCCCTTTCTGTAAAAGAGGAGGGTTAGAGTAGGTGACTGTTCAGAAGCCTTCTGGCTCTCAATCTGGCTCTGCTTCTTCCTGGTTGTATGGCCCTGGACAAGTCACTTGGCCTGTCTGAGACTCAGTGTCCTTATCTGTGTGATGGGACTAACAATACCTTGTTGGGGTGTGGTGGGAAAAAGCATTTTGCAAACTTTAAAACCTGGTAGAAATTTGAGTTATTTTTCCATGCAAGGCCTTCCCCTTAATGACTTTGGGCAAATCATTTCCTTTCTCCAGGCCTCAGTTTCCCCATCTGTAAAATGAGATTGGACTGTCTGATTTGTGACATACCTACCGTATTCTTGGCCTTGTGTGTTTTAGCGGGGTTGGAGGGAGTCGGTACACCTTTTCTAGATAATCCATACCTTATCTAGACAATTCACACTACATCCAGGTGATTCCCGCATTGGCCAGGGAATTTCTACCTTCTCCAGGTAATTCACACCTCATCCTGACATTTCCGGACATATTCAGACAATTCCCACATTATCCAGGGAATTCATACCTTATTCAGAGAATTTATATCTTACTGAGGAAATGTTAAAAAGGGAGGGGACTTACCTCAGAGATGCCTAGCATTCCCATAGTGAGCTTCCAGGCTTCACTTGAAGCCCCCAGTGATGGAGGACCCACTACCTCCTATTCTATATTCCTCAGATGAAAAAGTCACAGCCTGCCACAAAAAGTTTGGGAACAGACGATGTGAATAGTTAAATATAAACTGAGCCCCAGAAGTGACTCCAGGCACCAAGTGCTAAGTGTCAAAATTAGACACAGGCATTAAACTCACTGGGCTGGTCCTCGAAGGATGGGCAGGACACAGACCTCTGCTCCGTCCACCTCGGGCCCCCACCCCCACCTCCTTCCAGCCAGCTCCTCCTTCCAGGCCTCAATTTCTGTCACCCACCCCAACTCTGGGAGCCTGATCCAGCTGGGCACTGTCCTGCTGGCCCTGGCTCCATCCAGCTGTGGCCTTTGGCCCCAGGAGTCACATGAAGGGGTAAGGTAGCCAGGTCCAGGCCTCCCCTGAGTGTGGTCTGGGCTCTTCAGGGATGTGGGGACTGGTTGGCATGGCCTGGGAGGGGGGCTGGGGCACGTGCCAGGCTTGAATCTCTCTCCACTCTGGCCCCGCCCCAGTGCCAGCTGGTGAGAAGGCTACCAACCCCTACCCAAAACTGGCTCTTGTTTTCATGTGAAAACCAATAGTCACTTCGTCCCAAGAAACCCAGTTCTGGGCAAGGGTATTTACGACTGGAGGTGTTCAAGAAGAGTCTGCATGACCCTGTGTCGGGGTGTAGGAGAGGGCGGTCTTGTGCAGGTCTGGGTTGGGCTGCATGGTAGCTGAGATGATGGCGATGATGATGATGAAGATAATAACAAGAGTTGACATATAGTGCCTACCAAGTGCCAGGCACTGTCCTAAGCACCTTACTAATATCTATTTGGTTCTCACAACAGCCTTGGGCGGTAGGTGCTATTATTATCCCCATTTTACAGAGAAGGAAACTGAGGCAGACAGATGAATTGACTTGCCCAGAGTCACACAGCTAGTGTCTGAGGCAGGATTTGAACTCAGATCTTCCTGACTCCAGGCCCAGCACTATCCACTATGCTACATAGCTGAGATTCCTTCCAGATCCAAGGCTCTGTGATATTGTTACCATGTGTCTCGGCCCTCCCCAAGGGATACCTTGGGGACAAATCGACAGAACCATGGAGAGGTCATTGATGAGGCCCAGTCAACTATGTGGCATGAGATTTTGGGGCCTCTCTGGGACTCAACATCCCCATCAGTAAAATGGGATGACTTCCTCCTGAGTCTGTGAGTAGCAGGAAGAAGTCGGGGCTGCCAGAGGCTGCTGGCTCCTGGCGTGGGGTGGGGCAGCGGAGTCTGCTGCTTAGGACGGCGCCTTTCCCCTCGCAGATGTCGTCAGTTCCCTGGAGCCCGGCTGGCACGGCCCCTCATTGCGACGAATGGCCCTTCATCCCACGGCGTCTTCAGGTGAGTCCCCCAGGCCCTGCTGCAGCAGGGCAGAGGACGGGGACGACCTCTGTCCTACCTCTGTGGGAGCCTTCCCTGGGAGGAGAGAGTGGGGCAAAGGCGCCTCGGGCCTTCGGGGCAGAGGGGGCCTCTGGAGCACCACTAGACTTCCAACTATTCCATGCAGGCCCAGGTAGGCTGGGGAAGGTAGTGATGGAGGCAGACCCCTCCTTGTCCCAGTGGGAGCCCTGGAAGGGGGTAGAGGAAGCTGAGAGATCCCTTGGAAAGGATAGCCCTGCCAAGACCCTGAGAGGAAGGGGGCAGAAAGGAGGATTCATGTGCCCATTGCACAGAGGGGAAAGCTGAGGCGTAGAAGGGAGGAATTAAAGCAGCCTGGCCAATAGGCTCTCAGAAACAGGGCATGAAACCCAAACCCGGAACCCCAAGCTTGGACGGGAGGGGGGGGGGCTGTGGTTTGGCCAGGATGACAGAAACAATGGGGGTCTTCCTTTCCCATCGGAGAGAGGGGAGGGTGAGCCCAGGCCAGGGGTGGGGAGGAAGAGTTTGCATCTTTACAAGGGCTGGCAAAGCCTGATGTAACCATGGGGACTGGGCAGCTTCGGCAACAGGAGCGTTTCTGTGGGTGTGAAGGAGCAGCAATTAACCCCAATTACCCCTGGGAAGGCCAAGGGCTCCTGGTCCGGAGAGTGGCCGGCCTCCAGCTGGGGCCCAGTCTTCCAGCCAGCCCGCACCCCCAGCCCCAGCTGCTGGCCAGGGAGGCAGGCGGCCTTGTCTGTCCTCGGAGCTGGAGGAGGTTTGCTCCATTGGTCGCCCTCTTTCAGACCCAGATCCGAGACCCCAGTGAGACCCCGGGGAGGCCCCCTCGGACAAGGAGGGCCCTGGGGTCACCGGCCAGGTCAGAGCACAAGTAGACTTGGCCAGGGAAACTAGGGCAGCTCCAGGCCGGGGCAGCCAGCCAGCCGCAGGAAACAGAAGAGGTGGGGGATGTAGGGGAAAGAGCCTTGGTCAGGGAGGCCAAGCCTGGCTCTGCCACTGACCCACCACGTGACCCTAGCTGAGTCACATTCCCTCTCCGGGCCTCAGTTTTCTCATCAGTAAAAGGGGAGAATGTCACAGGGAGCCAAGGGGAGAAAAGATGGGGAAGGTCCCCCCTCATCTCACCCCCTGAGAACAGAGAAAACATGGTGAGGTCTGAACAGAAGCTCAGCCCTTGTCCGTTGTCCCCCTCAGGTTGTTTAAACTGCAGCAAGGTAGCAGAGCTGACGGAAAGGCTGAAGGTGCTGGAGGACAAGGTCAGTGCCCCATCCCAGAAGCAGCTGCCACAGTCTCCCAACCATCCCTCAGGTGCCGCTTGAATACCACCCGTGACAGGGAGCTCATTATCTTTCCTCACTCCCTGCACCCCAGACCTCCCCTCTGCTCCTCTTCCTTACACTGAGCTAAAATCGGCTTCAGGTCCCCGCCCCCACCTAACACCCACCTGGTAGTTTGTAACCAGTTGGTCCTAATTCTAGCGACTGGGGCCAAGCAGAAGCCCTCTCTACCTTGTGAGTGGGGGTCTGCCAATGCAGATTAAGTCTGTACCTGCTCTGCCGGTTAGAAACCAGAGTACTTCGAGATTATGCGATTTGTCATCATGGGTCAGAGGCAGGGACTCAAACCCAGGCCTTCTGGGCTCCAGTGCCAGCTCTCATCTATGACACCATTCAGCTGGCTTTTTTTTTTTTTTTTTTTGGCTAGGCAATGGAGTTAAGTGACTTGCCCAGGGTCACTCTACTCGCTTTTATGTCTTGTCTTCCCCCATTAGAATATAAGCTCCTTGAGGGCAGGACTGGCTTTGCTTCCCTTAGGTTGGTATTGCCAGCACTTAGCACAGAGCCTGGCACATAGTCAACACTTAATAAATGCTGGAAGTCTTGTTGGTTTGCTTCTTGATAGCCACACAGACATTTGAAGAGATCAATTGTGTTCTCAGTTCAGGTATTTAAGTATTTCATTTCCTGTTTAAGTCATCTGGGCAATTTATATTTGGCAGATATCGATCCATCGGCAAAGGGTCGAGACCCACAGTTTAAGAAGCCCTGGACTAGATTGTCAATTTCATTGTCATGTAATTGGGCAAACCAGCTCCTAATAATTACCTTTATTACTTTTATTCATTTTCATTACTTGTGAATTCACTCTTTTCATATTTGATACTAATAACTTAGTACTATTATCGATAACCATCGGGGGCAGCTAGGTGGTGCAGTGGATAGAGCACAGGCCCTGAAGTCAGGAGGACCTGAGTTCAAATCTGACCTCAGACCAAACACTTGTCACTTACTAGCTGTGTGACCCTGGGCAAGTCATTTAACCCCAATTGCCTAAAAAAAATAAAATAAAATAACCATCGCCATCATCCTGACTTTTGCCTTGCCACTGGCCTTCGATGACCCTGGAAGAGAGAGTGAAGCTGATAACTACACTCTGCACAGCTCTGCCTCACTTAAATCCAATTCACTCACAAGTCACTACATCACCCATCACACCGCGGTGTCTTTGGTCCTCTTTGGGACCCGTCATTTGGATTTCTTCCTTCTCTTCGTAGCCGCCTCTTTCAAAGCTTTGAGCAGGGAAGGGAAAGAGGGATACAGGTAGATGCCCCTACCGGGATGGTAGGATCAAGGGAGGACTTTTCCGAGCACGGGGATGAGCTAGGTTTAATGGCAGGCAGTTGGACACAGCCGATGGAAAGAGAGAAGATAAATGAGAGGGTGGGGATGTTATAGGAGGCAATCTGCTGGAGGGGATGAGATGGAATGGGGTTGCACGTGGACATATTGGGGTCTGCTTTGGCAAAATTCTCTTCATCAGAAAATGGAATTGAGGAGATTTGGTTGTGCAAGTATTTCCAATTCTGTGCCCTCATCCAGGGTTTTCTTGGCAGAGATACTGGAGGGATTTGCCATTTCCTTCTCCAGCTCATTTTATAGATGAGGAAACTGAGGCAAACAGGGTTAAGTGACTTGCCCAGGATCGTACAGCTTGCTTTTGATGACCCTGGAAGAGACAATGAGGCTGGTGACTTTGTGCGGCTCTGCCTCACTTAAATGCAATTTGTGGGCAAGTCAAGACATCACTCTGCGATGTCATTGATCCACTTAGAAAATGAAAGACAAACAACATGTCTGAGGCAGGATTTGAACTCAGGTCCTCCTGACTCCAGGCCTGGCACTCCATCTACTGTGCCACCTATATGCTAAGGAGGAGATAGTGGTGGGTTATGTGAGATTGGGAGAAGGGGAGAAGAGGGAGCTCTTGGCCAATGGACGGCCAAATGAATTAGGAGATGAGGAAAAGGGCGGAAAGGTAGGAAGGAGTCGGCCAGATTGAGGACAGCTATAAATGCCAGGTTCTAGTAACTGTATTTTTATTAGCACGGCCCAAGAGCCAGTGGCCTTCCTCAGAAGTCCTGCCACTTGCTACCTGTGTTACCTTGGGTGAGTCACTTCTCTCTGGGCCTCAGTTTCCCCATCTGTCCAATGAGGGAAGTTGATCTGATGACCTGCAAGATTCCTTCCAGCTCTAGACCCATCATTCTCTGAATTCATTTACCTCTCTGGGCCTCATTTTCATTAGCTGTAAAATAAGGAGATTCAATTAAATGACCACTGAGCTTCCCCCATTCTAAACTCATGATTCTCTGACTCCTCCAACATATCAGTGTCTTTACTAAAAGTCTGAAGCATAAGGGATTAACATTTGAGCGTCCCATGCCCTCCCTGTGGTGCCCTTCTTTATCAAGAGTAGCCCAATGGGCAGGCCAGGTCATCAACTCTGGGCTCTTGGAGTTGAGCCCCACGGTTCTCAAACTTAAAAATTATTGGGGATCCTCCAAAGATCTGTTGTTTGTGTGGGTTCTAGCCACCAATATTTACCTTATTAGAAATTAAAATAGCTTACTACAGTTATTAAAATCATTTTGAGCCTGCAGACTCCCTGAAAGGGTCTAGGGACCTCTGAGGAGCTCAAGACTGCACTTGGAGAACCAGTGCCTAAGTCTATGGCTCTCCCCCTTGCCCTCCCCTGGGTAGGGCTGACGTTACTGAAATATCCTTTGCTTCCGTTTCCTTTGCCAAGGAGAATGACCTTTGCACTGGAGAAAACAGAGCAAAAATAGCAAATAGGGATCGAATACCCCAAATAAGTAAGAAATAAAGTTAGATGGAATACGTGCTTTTAACTTTTATCAAGTGTCTACAGCAGCAGCACTTAAGCCCAGGTCTTCTAACCAAGGTGAGTTATAGTCTCTAAGACAAAGAACTGGTAAATATGAAGACTACTGTCAGGGAGATCATGGAGAGTCAGGAGTGGTGATGCTCACCTGCATTCAGCCCCAGCTACCAGGGAGGCTGAATCTGGGGGAACTCCTAAGCTCAGGCAGTCCCGTGTCTGCACTCAGTCTGACACCAATCTGATGAGCCCCTTGGAAGAGGGAGCTAGCATGTTGTCTTAGGAGTGATAAATCAGGCTGGAAACTGAGCAGGTCAAAGCTCCTATGCTTATCAGTAAGGGATATTCCCATGAATAGCACCTCCACTTCCAGCCTGGGTGAGATGGGGAGACCTAGTTAGAAGAAAGAAAGAAAGAAAAGAAAAGAAGGAAGGAAGGAAGGAAAGATAAAGAAAAGGAAGAAGAAAGAAGGAAAGAAAGAAAGAAAAAAGAAAAGGAGGAAAAAAGAGAGAAGGAAAGAAAAGGAAGGAAGAAAGAGAGAGAGATCTCATGGAGAGCAGGAAAGGTGAAGCAGGACTAGAGGAGGCCACATATTGTCTTGACTTTCAAAAAGGGAAAGAGAATAGAACCTACAAATCTAGGCAAATGGGCTTGACTTCAGTTCCTGGCAAAATTCTAGAGCATGTTATTAAAAGGAAGGTTAGTGAATGTCTAGATAAGGAAGCAATGATCACATAGAGCCAATGTGGCTTCATCCAGAGCAGTTCATGGTGGACAAAGCCTCTTCTTAGTATGAGGGTCCTGAAGTAGAGGAGCAGAAGACCGTAGAGGCCGTCTGCCTAGATCTCAGCTGAATGTCGAAGGCATCTCCCAGTCTTCTAAGCCCATCACTTGGCCCTGTGTCTGGCACAAAGTAAGCACCTGCTAAATGCTTGTTGACTTGACTATTCTTGTGCAAAAGAGGGAGATGTGTGGACTAGACAAAAGCACAATTATATGGATGTAGAATTGGTTGAATGGCTGGATCCTGAGAATCGCCATTAACGAATACATGTCAGTTTGAAAGGTCTCTAGTGGAGTGCTCAGGGATCTGGGCTCGGCCCTGTGGTATTCAGCATTTTTATAAATGATTTGGATTAAATGCATTAATATCACGTACTGATTGCTCATGCACAACATAACAGATTGCTTACCATCTCAGGGAGGGGAAGGGGAGAGAGGGAGGCAAAGATAGAATTTGGAACTCAAAACATTAGAAAAAAATGTTAAAAATTGTTTTAACATGTAACTGGGGGAAAATATTTTTTTAAAAATATGCACTGAAAGGGATAGGTGGATAATAATCAGGATCCAAAAAAGGTTATGACATTCTGGAGAAGTGAGATGAATTTAGTGAGACCCGATTTAATTGGGATAAATATAGGCATGAGTTCAAGAAATCAACCTTGTAAGTGAAACGATGGCTAGCCAGCAGTTCATCTGAAAAAGATCTGGGGGCTTTAGGGGACCATAGGTTCAGTACGAGCCAATAGCATGACAGGCAGCCAAAAAAACTAGGGTTATCTTGGGCTGCAGCGAGAAGTTGAGGACTAGAGAGGTGCTGGTCTTGCATCTAGAACGCATCTAGAGAGTGTTCGGTGCTGGGTAATACGGATTGGAAAGCATATTGATAAGCTAGAAAGTCTCCACAGAGGGGAGACCAGAAAGGGAAAGGGCTCCGAATTCATACCAAATGGGGATCGGGGGAAGGGATTGAGATGGAAAAGAGTGAGTCCAAGCGTACCATCTCCTAGCATTTGAAGAGAAGTCGTACAGAAGAGGGATGGTTGGCCTTGCCCTGTCTGGCCCCAGAGGTTGCAGAGGGGCCGACAGATTCAGGCCCCATCTAAGGAAGAACGCCGAACATGAGCAGTCTCCCAGAGACCGTGCAGTGCTGCCCTGGGGAGCGGTAGACTGACTCTCAGCAGAGTTTTTCCAACAATCTAGATGACCCCATGTGTGGAATATGGTTCAGAGAATTCTTGTTCATGTCCTGGCTGCTCTCACTGACCCAGGAGGGCCCTTCTAGCTCAAAAAATTGGGTGATTCTGAGTTAGTTAGAGAAGGTTCTCCTTCTCTCTCTGCCCCACTCTGGGGCCTGGGCCTCCACCTGTCCACCCCCTACCCATCTCACTCCCTTCCTCCCAGGTATCAGTGCTGGCCCTAACCGAGCCATCAGCATCCCTGCCCCTTGGGGCTCCGCGGGAGGCCAAAGGGAGTGGGGACCCAGCCCTGCTGTGGGGGTTGCCAGCTGCCCAGGGGAGCCCTGGAGATGAAGGAGGCAGAGGTGAGTAAAGGCAGATGGATCTGAATTCAAATCCCACTGTAGGCTCCAGTGGGCCAGAGGTAAGGGTATCTGGGGAGAGGGCCAAAGGGAAGAGTCAGAGCAAGGGAGTGGTTTCCCTCTGAAAAATGTCTCCCTCCAAGTGACTCATGGGGTATAAAGGAGAGGGAGCAGGTGCCAGGCCCGGAGATCCGGAGGGGAAAGGGTGGGTTCTGCTCTGAGGATGGGCTGGGAGGAAGTTATCCAGAATGGGTCAGTCCAGGCTTCCTCCCTAGGGGTGGCCAAAGGGAAGGGGAGCTAATGATTCAAAGGGGGATCTGGCACTGAAGACCCTTCCCAGGCCCCGTACCTGGGGCCCAGTAAGAGTAATGATGGATAAGCCCCCCATTCCCTCCCCATGCCAGGGCCTCCTGGAGCTGGAGAGCGACGGAGGGCAACTGTGCTCGCCCGGGATGGTAGGTATCATTGCCTTTTTAAGACTGGGGAGAGGGGTGACCTTTAGCTGGATCCAGGGGAAGGGAGAGACTATGGAGGCCAGGAAATCACAGCACACCCCCCCCCGCCCCGCCCAAACGCTTCCCGGCTTACATCCCACGCCTCCTAGCTGGGTCCTGACAGGAGTTTCCCTCCTTCGTAGGCCGAGGAGGTGTTCCTGGGCCACCGGGGCCTTCTGGCCCCAAAGGAGACACGGGGAGCCGGGGCCCAACCGGAGTGCCTGGCCTGAAGGGCCCAGCAGGGCCACCAGGTGAGTGTGGGGCCCTGGAGGCCCCGGCAGGTACAAGGACCTCATCCTGGATGGATGGGGCTGGACTCAAGATGGCGGCATTGGGAGTTGGGAAGGCACAACTGAGCCTTGGCTGTCCCTCCTGCCCACTCCCAGTAGTGCCTCACACCAGAGTATATCAACATATCAAGACCTAGGCTTCCAGGATGTGAGCACTCCCTCCCCCAAGGCAGATCACCAGGCTACACCTGGCCTATAACTTTAGGCCTAAAGAGCTGCCTAAGGCTTAGCAAGCGGTAAGTGAGTTACCCACAGTCACACAGCTGGTAAGTGGAGACAGGACTTAAACCACCCACTGAGTCCCAAGTTCAGCACTCCATCCATCATTACGCACAGTAGGCAATCAACAAGCACTTATTAAGCTCTTACTGTATGTGCCAGGCTGTAATAAGTGAGAGTGCCTGGATGGATGGATGATGAAAAAGCATTTTATTGAGTGCTCATCATATGGAAAGCACTTAACGTAGTAGGCACTTAATAAGTGAAAGCTAGCTATTCAAAGGAACCCTGTGGGGAGTTCTTCAGAAACACCCTCTACTTTATCTGTGGTCCAAACTGGACTTCTCCAATTGTATGCCCTATGGACATCTCAAACTCAATGTGCCAAAAAAACCCAAAACTCATCATCTTTCCCTACCAATTCCAACACAACTGGGCTCCTAGCTATTCCCTAGACTTGACCTGCCATTCCCCACCTCCAAACCTTTGCATAACTAGTCCCACACTCCTGGAAAGCTCTCCTTCCCCACCCCCACTTCTTAGCCTCCCTGGATTTCCTCCAGTCCAGTGCCACCCCCAATCTAGTGGTTAGTATTCTCATATGACTTTGTATTTACTGATTTGTGTACGTATTGTAAACCTCCCCTCCTCCCCACCAGGGTTACAACAGGGTAAATTCCTTGAGGTCAGGGATTATTTTGAGGAACTCAATAAATATTTATTGAATTGAATAATCCCATCTCCCCAGTTAGACTGTAAGCTTTCTGAGTTCAGAAACAATGGCTTCTGTTTTTTTCTCTCCTCCCCACTCCCCAAGGTGCCTAGCACAAGATTCTATGCACACGGTGTTGATTAATTATCCCTGTCCCTGACTTCTTCTCTCATTGCTTTCCAGGACCCCAAGGGCCACCTGGCAGCCCAGGTCGGGATGGGGCTAAGGGAGAAAGGGGCCCCCCAGGACCTCCTGGACCTCCAGCCCCAACTGGACCCTCCACAGCCCAGATCTCTGAACAGGGTGAGTTTCCCAAGCAGGGGATGAGATGTGGAGCCCCCAGAGGTGAGAATGGGAACCAAGGGTGGGGGCCAGCTGAGGGGGAGGGGAGAAACCCCCCTTCAAACACATTTAGAGTTGAGTGGGAACTGGAAACCAAGAACAAAACGCTACTCCCCAGACTGCTTGAGAAGCCAGAATCCTGGCTCCTTCCTGCCCTGAGCCTGGGAGCCTTCTGAGCACCCAACCCTTAACGGCATGCAGAGAGAACTCCGAGGCTACTCAGAGCTCCCTGCTGGAACCATCCCAGGAGCCCAGTGACCCAGGCTGGCCCAGGCCCTCCTCTGAGGTGTCTGACCTGTTCCCTTATACACACACAACACACACACATGCACACCCCAAGAGGCCTGGAAGCCCCCAGTGTCAGAGCCAGAAAGATTATAGAACCTAGAACAGGGCTGGGGAACCTGGGCCTTGAGGCCCCCATGTGGCCCTCTAGGTCCTCAAGTGCCACCCTTTGACTGAATCCAAACTTCACAGAACAAGTCCCCTTGAGGTTCCCCACCCCTGATCTAGAACATCAGAGCAAGAAGGGACTTTGGAGAATAGAACATAGAATGGTAGGACTGGAAGAGCCCTTAGAACAAAGAACAGAAAAAGCCAACCTTTACTTTAGCTTAAGGCATTGAAAGGCCCAGTGAAAATAGGAATGTTCCTAGGGAGGGGACACCCCTAAAGCCTTGATTTGCCATTGACACCTGGGTTAGAATTTGCTGTTTGTCAAAGTACATGATGGGGGATGAGCTGGGAAAGATGTGGGAGGTCAGGCCTGGGAACGTACCTCAGTGGGGGCCTGCACGGAGGGGTGGAGGTCATAGAGATCGGAGGATTTTAGATCTGGGAGTTCTAATCCAACCTTGTCCTTAACCGAGGAGGAACCTAGCACAGAAAAGGGAAATTAATTTGGCCGAGATCACAGAGGAGGCCCAAACAAACTTTATCTACTTTCCAGGATGGTCAAAGGCTGGCTGGGTCTGGAGTGCAAAAGGACAGGGTCACACAACTAGAGTTGGAAGGGAAATCAGAGGTCATTTGGTCCAACCCCTCCTTTTACAGAAAGGGAAACTGAGGCCAAGGAGTTAAGTGACTTGCCCAAGGTCATACAGGCAGTAGGTGATGGTACCAGGTGTTCTGTCTCGATGTTTTACCATTCCAAGGTTTGAGGCCATCCTTGGCAACCAGCATGGGGGCTTCCAGCCCACCTCTCTCCTACACATACACATACACACTTTTATGAAAAAAACCACCAGTGGCTTAGACTGAGCTGGGAAAGCTTTGCCCCCTGGTGTCCAAACCTGGTTCTGCATCCAATGATCTCCTTGAAAGAAATAGACCCAATGCCTTGTCCAGGTCTAAAGCTAAGAGCTAAGAGAGAGGGCTGGCTGCTAGAGGGTCAGGGACCTAGCTATGAATTCTGGCTCTGCTGCTCATTAGCTAGGGGACATTGGGTAAGCTGCTTCCCTTCTCTGGGCCTCAGTTTCTTCACCTGTAAAATGAGCAGGACTGAACTCAATGATGTCTAAAGTCTCCTACCTCTCTAAATCTATGACCTTGTGTAATCTGTCCTGACTACTGTTTCTGTCCCAGAACACACCAACCAAGGCCCTGTCTGGCTCTCAGGTAGGTAGATAAAAGGGGCTTAAGGTGCCCCCTCCTTAAGAGGTGCAACTCCCAAGGAATAACTCTCTAATGATGGCATTTCAGGCACTGTGATATCATGGGGAAAGGGGAGTCTGCCTCAAGGCTTTATGGCAGAGTGCTGGACTTAGAGTCAGGAAGGCCTGGGTTCAAATCCTACTTTTGACTCATTAGATACATATTAGGCCAGCCGCTTAAAATTCTTCAAACCCCAGTTTGCTCCTCAGCAAAATGGGATACTGAGGCCTGCAATAAGTATAGCCATAGATTTAGGGCTGACCCTGGGTGAACTCATGCCTCAGGATGCTGTAACATGGCATGGGACCACAGATTTAGAGAGGGGCTTCAGATGTCATCTCCACCGGCCCCTTCATTTTGTAGATAGGGAAACCGAAGCCCAGAGAGGCGAAGGACTCACCAGGTCCTGTAACTCTGCCTCCAGAGCTCTTTCCATGGAGCCATGCTGAGGGATGAATGAGATAGCATTCATGTAGCAAACCCTCAAGTGTGAATGGAAATGTCAGATGGTTCTTCTTCCTATCATCGTCATCCTTGTGATGATCTTTACAAGGTGCCCACCCACTCCACCAACGCTTCAGGCCAACCCAGCTCAGGGCATGTGTTGTAGAATTGTAAGATTTCAATCTGGGAAGGGATTAGGCAGTTCTTTGGTCCAACCCCCTCATTTGACAGAAGGGGAAACCAAGGCCCATAGTTGGGCAATATCTTGACCAAGGTCACACCCTTGGAGCTAATGATAGATGATCTTATTTTCAAAAAGAGAAAGGGGTCTACAAACTCTAGGTCAGTGAACTTGACTTCAATTCTTGGCAAAATTCTCCAGTGTGTTATTTTTTTTCAGTTTTTTTTTATTTTAAAAATGTGTTTTTAAAACTTTGGGCCACAAATTCTCTCCCCTCCTCCCTCCCCACCCACCCTCACCAAAAAGGTAAGCATCTTGACACAGGCCACAGATGTGCAGTCATGTCCAGTGTGTTATTAAAGAGATGGTTAGGGACCAATAGAAAAAGAAACGGTGATTACAAAGATCCAGCAAAGCTTTATGGAAACAGGTTGTGCCTAGGCATCCTGAGTTCAAATCCTGCCTCAGACACTTACTAGATGAGTGACCCTGGGCAAATCACTTAGCTTCTGATTGCCTCAGTTTTCTCATCTGCAGAATGGGAATAATAATAGCACCTACCTCCCAGGGTTGATGTGAGGATCTGATGAGATAACGTATGTGAAGCACTTTGTATAGATGCTAGATATCATTATGCCACACTAACCCTCATTTCCATTTTGCACAGGGTTACTAGATAGAGATCAAGAGAATTCTGTAAATTAGATAGCATTTACCTAAATTTTAGCAAAGCTTTTGAGGAACTCTCTCGTGCTCTTCTTGTGGACAAGATGGCGAGATGGGGACTAAAAGATAACACTATTATATGGATTTGGAGTTGGTTGAATGGTTGGACTCATGGAGTAGTCACTAATGGTTGGTTCCATATCACTTTGGAAGGAGACTCTAGTTGAGGGCCATGGATCTCCCAGTGCTATTTAATATTTTAATCTATGAGTTGGATAGATGGCAGGCTTATGAAATTTTCAGGAGACACAAGACTGGAAGGTATAGTTAACACAGCAGATAATAGTTAAGATTCAAGATGATATTAACAGTCTAGAACATGGTGAGGCATCAAATATTAAATTTAGAGAAATGTAAAGTCTTATACTTGGGTTCAAAAATTCAACATTGCAAGCATAAAAGCAGAGAGACATGATATATAGTAGTTTGTCTGAAAAAGACCTGGAGGTTCTAGTGGACTACAAGCTCAGTACGAGTTGGTAGTAGAATAAAGCAGCCAAAAAGGTTGATGGAATTTTTAACTATGTTAAGATGGTAGGGCTTCCAGGAACAGGAAAGTAATAGTCCCACCTTTCTCTGTCCTAGTCAGATCACATATGGAGTATTGTGTTCAATTCTGGAGACCAGGGTTTATGAAGGACTTCAATGAGCGGGGATGTCCAAAGGAAGGCAGCCAGGATGGGGAAGGGCCATGGACTCATGTTGTATGAGGAGCACTTGAAGGAAATTAGTTTATTTGGCCTGAAGGGGAGAAGGTTCAAGCCTGGGAGTGGGGAAGGATTAGAAGAAATTTTGTAATGCCTTGTTATAACGATTAGCTTCCTTTTAAAGCCCTGGGACAATAAGTCCATATCTAACAGTAAAGCTCCATAAGGTCCACATGATTCCTTCTTCACCTTTAGAGAGTTTGCTGTAGTGGAAAAATTATGAGTTCAGTCATAATTGCGCTAAGCCCCTTGTTAGAAAAATTCCTAACATCTAGGCAAAGGTTGAGCTTTCTGTCTACTATCTTTATATCTTTATATCTATCTCTAGAGTACCAGGCCTGGAGTCAGGAAGTCTCATCTTCCTGAGTCCAAATCTGGCTTCAGACGCTTATTAGCTGTGTGATCCTGGGCACTTAACCCTTGTTTACCTCAGTTTCCTCATCTGTAAAATGAGCTGGAGAAGGAAATCGCAAACCACTCCAGTATCTGTGCCAAGAAAACCCCAAACAGGGTCACAAAGAGTCAGACACAACCAAAATGACTGAATAGCAACTAGTTAACCACTATCCTCTTTGTGGTTCAGATAAAACTCAGTTTATTATAAACATTAGGGTTAGGGTTGTTATATATTAACCTTATATTATTAATGTTTAAATTAATTTATTAATAACAATGTATTATAATGATTATATAAATATAATTATTCCTTTTTATATATTATATAGTATATGATTTATATATATACATATAAACATATAAATTATATAAATGATACTATTAACTTTTTAATTAGTTTATTAGTAAATAACAATGTATTACATAATAGTGGCAGTATATGGGCAAATACCAGGAAGGAAAGTTGAGGAAAGAGCCAGCCTTTTATTGGGACTTCCCCCAACCTGTTGTCTTCTGATCACCAATGCTTATACAGCCACTGACCCTCCTCAAAATTTCCATTCTCTCCCACCGTTCAGTCTTCCCTTTTCTCCTCAGAAGTATGTTGGAAAGCCACTTGCTCCATCCCGACTCGAGATAACTGGATGGTTTTATTTATGACCCAGAGGGCACAACAAAATCCCCCAGCCAGTTGGAAAAGACCTTTCTGTCTATCTGTTATCATTTTACTTCATCCAATGGCTTTCAAAGACTTTTTGCATTTATTCTGATAAAACTTGTTCTTACTGAGTTAAGATTCTGGAACTAAAACAGAGTGGCTTCAACCCCACCCTTACAACAGAAGAGTTATGTTGCCCTGGCTATGTATTAGATCTGTTATGTGAAAGAGGGATTAGCTATGTTCTGCTTGACCCCAGAAGGCCAAATTGGAAGCAACGAGAGAGAGCTACAGAAAGGCAAATTTGGACCCGACACAAGACAAAACTTCTCAATGATTACAGCTGACCCTCCATGGAATGGGTTTTCTCAGGGGAAAGTGTGTTGCCCCTCTCTGGAGGTTTCGAATAGAAGCTTGAAGACTAGTGGTTGGGGCCATTGTAGAAAGGACTCTTGGTTGGTTCTGAGTTGGATTGGACTTCCACCTCAGAATTTGTGAGAGAGAGGGAACCCAACTCTGAGATTCTGTGATCTGCCTGACAATCCTTCACACCCCTGAAGACAGGGCTGATCTCCTCCCCCCCGTCTTCTCTACTCTAGATCCTTTAACCAACTATCTCATGGCATGGTCTCCATTCTTCCCCCTCTTCCATTCTAGTCCCCCTCCTCTGGCTAAAAAATATGTCCCCCAGAACTGAACCCAATATTTCACGTGAGTGCTGCCCAGGGCAGACCTTGACTCGCCAGCCTTGTACTGCTAATGCAGCCTGCAATGTCATCCACTTTTTGGCCGCCATGTTGCACCATTGACCCCTGCTGAACTGGCAATCCAGTTCCAACACGTTCATCCATACCACCAAGATAGTGTCCCTGCCCTCTAAGAGCTTACATTCCAGTGGGGAAGAGAGAGGAGTAAAGACCGGAGTGCCAAACCAGGCATCAAGGAGGTGAGGCTTGAGTATGGACCCTGAAGGCTGAGCAGGAAGGTTACAGTTTCTGCTCAATGCTACCCCATTATCACCATCCACTTCCTTTGAAGCCTCTTGACAGCAGCCAGGATGTCAGTGGACCCTGGCGTTCCTCACCTCCTCTCTCCCTCCAGGAGATCCACTGCTCTCCAACACCTTCACTGAAACTGGGGACCTTGAGATCCAGGGGCCTGTGGGCCCACCAGGCCCCATGGGGCCCATGGGTAAGTTGGGGCCCAGAGCTGAGAAAACTGGGTGGGGCTGATCTCCTGAGGGTGGGAATGGGAGGGTCTTGGGCCCCTGGTGAAGCTGGAAGGACAGGTGAGAAAAGAGGGGGCCACACAGATAGGGGGAGTAACTCGGCCCTCCAGGAGAGACATTAAGGAGGGTATGGTCACCCCTCTCTTAGACTTGGTCCAGACCAGAGATGAGAGCTTATCTGACACAGTTGGGGGGGTCCCCTCTTCTCCCCTTCCAGGTCCCCCAGGTCCTCCAGGTCCAGTGGGTATTCCAGGCACACCTGGCCACAAAGTGAGTAAATCATCATGTATATATTTATGTTCATATATTGTATCTCCCCCCTCCCATTCCCAAAGGTCAGGGATATACTTTGTATCTCTAGTGCCTGATACACAGTGGGCACTTAATAAATGCTTATTGAGTTAGACTGTGATAAACATTAAGTTCCGGTCTTCTGGGAATTCACTGAGTCCTGAGGGGTCTTCTCCTGCCTACACTGCCCATGTTCCTCCAACAGACCTCTCACTCAGTCAGTGAGTGCTCTCTCCAAACCCATTACAAACCCTTCTCTTGAGCCCCGGCCCCAGCTGTGCCTCCTGGGTCACTCAGCCCCTGGGGAAGGTGGGGAGCTGGAAGGACAGGGAGGCTGCCCGGCCACTAATGCCTCCTCTCATTGTTCAGGGCTCACCAGGCCCATCTGGAGCTGATGGAACCAATGGCCTCCCAGGGGAGAAGGGTGAGCGAGTGAGTACCTGGACCCACTATAGGAGGCAATCTAGCACTGCCTGGGGCCAGAGGACCATGGGATGGGGGGGGAGGGGACTGCAAGTTTAATATGTGATACGGCAGCCAAAAACCGAGGACATTTTAGGCGACATCAAGAAAGGTGGGAGTGGGAGGAGAGGGCCAGAGAGATGATGATAATAATAACAGTAATAATAACAATAATAATAGCAGCTAACATGTAACAGAGTAGAGTACCACTGTCTTCTGCCCTGGGCAGACTTCAAATGCCTTTAGGGTCATCCTGCCCATCCCCCTTCATTTTACAAAGTGGGAAACAGAGGCCCAGAAAGTTGTGACCTACCCAAGGTCACCTAACTTAGTAAGTGGCAGAGCTGAGATCTGAACCAGGTCATAGAGCAGGAAGGGAGGTTAGAGGTCATTTGGCCCCCTGCCCTCATTTTACAGAGGAGAAAACTGAGGCTATTTGCCAAGGATGTGGCAGAGCTGGAATTCCAACGCAGGCCCTTTGCCCCAGACTCTCAGCTGTTTCCACTGCGCCAGAGCGGCTTCTGGATGAGCCTGGGGGTTTCCAGGGGTAGCGTGAGGCCTTCCTGTAGGCCCCCCATCCTCCTGACTCCTCCAGCGGGACTGGCGAAACCTCTCAGGCTTAGGGCTGACCGCGGGGTACCTGGGAGAAGGAGCTAAGGATGGCCCTGAATGGTGCAGGGCTTCCCCTGCCCAGCCCAGTAAGAGCCCCACCTGCTGGCCCTCAGTGCCCTGACTCTTCCCATCTTGTCCTTTTGCACAGGGCTACCAGGGGGAGCCGGGCCCCAGAGGTCTAGCAGGAGAACGGGTAGGTGAAGCTCCCTCTACCTCCTCCTTTACCTCCCTTCACCTGATGATTGGCCTTCTCAGAGGTCAGTCCCAGGCACTTCTCCCCCAGATGAACCCATGGGATGAGGGATGAGTAGCTTTCTGGTGAGCCCAGCCCTGCCCCCAGCTGTCCCTGTCCTTCCCTCTCTCCCCCCAGACCCCCTGGGAAAGGGCCATGGGTGCCCCAGCCCTAGGAGGACCCCCTTTTATTGGGCCTCAGTGGGTTCACTTCTATCTGTCTGTGTCTGTCCGTGTCTTTTGTTTCAGGGTGAACCAGGCCCCAAAGGTGACCCTGGAGAGAAGGGCCACTGGGTAAGATTAGTCCCCAGCCTTGGCTCAGAGGGCTCCTGGGCATCTCTCCCCCAACCCCTCTCCCCACTGGGCCCACAGGGGAGATAATGCCTGTCCATCTCACTCCCTATCCCCTGCCCCAGGAAGGGGGAAGAAGGAGAGGGGACTGCTGTGGGGCCTAGTCCATTGCAGAGGGGCCTGGCTCCGAGGGTCCCATAGACCAAGCCCAGGTCTAAGTCCCTCTGCCTGGGGGTCAGTGAGAGGAGGGTCCCAAAGTGTGCTTGTGTCATAGGGGAGGGAATGCACATAGTACTGGGGCCTGGCAGGTCATTGCTCTCTGTCTCTGCCTCTGTCTCTCTCCTTTCCCTCCCAACCCCCTAAACCCTTCAGACCCAAATGAAGGACAGAGCTGGGCAGCAGGCCTCTCACCCTAAGCAGGCCCAAAGCCAGACTACACCATCCATACATTCAATCAGTCAATGAGTCAGTCAACAAACACAGGCCCAGCACTTACCTGGTGCAGAGCACCTAGTGGAGGTACCAGGAGATAAGGGCCTTTTGATAAGACACAGTCTTGCAGTCTGATAAGGAAACAAGACACGAGCACAAAAAATTCCCATCCATCATATGAACCGAGTTCATTAGAGGTGCCGTGGAGAAGGGTGGATAGCCATCCAGCTGGGCATGGGCACCCCTGGCTCTGTGGGAAGCGCCTCAGGCAGCACATCGGGGTTGCCCCGATCCATCCATCAATCGACAATCACTTGGTAGGGTTCAGAATCTAGAGCAGCAAGGGACCCCAAAGTCAACCCCCCATTTTACAGAGGAGGAAACCAAGGCTTGCCTTGCCCGGGGTCGCCCAGGAAGGGTCCTGGGGTCAGGACCTCAGAGGCCATCTAGAACCACTCCCTCATTATACAGACAGAGAGGAGATCGCTTGCCCAAGAACAGGGATGGTAAGCTCCTACTATGTGCCAGGCACCGTGCCCAGCAAGTGCTGGTGATACAAAGAAAGGCAAAAGCAGCTCCTGCCCTCAAGGAGCTCACAGTCTAATGGGGGAAGACCACATGCAGACAATCATGGACACACAGACACAGGCAGAATAAACTGGAAATAATCACCAGAGAGAAGACTCCAGAATTCAGAGAGCTCTGCAAAGGCTTCCTGTAGAAAGTGGAATCTAAGCTGGGACTTGAAGGAAGCTGGGAGGCAGAGATGAGGAGGGAGGGCATTCCAGGCGTGGGGCACAGCTAAAGAAAAGGCCCAGAGTCTGGAGATGGAGAAACGGCAGAGAGGAAAGTGTTCTTGGATCGCTTCTCGGACTGGCTAAGACTGGGCTGGATCAGAATCAGAGAAGCAAAAAAGCACTGACTACATCCTGGGGACGATTTGCATAGATGACAGGATACAGGGAAGGCAGTGGAGCTGAGACAAGCCTGGGAAGAGCCTGCCAGGCAGGGGATGTGACACTTGGCCCAGCAGCCATAGGGAGCTACCGGAGATGTTGGAGCGCAGGAGCAGCACAAAGCACTCTCCAAAGCTTAGGTATTCTTCCTGCGAAGCCAGAGGTCTGGAGGACAGATGCGAAGGGGAAATAGGGAAGGCCGCTAGACCTAGCCGGGGACCGCTCTGACAGTGCAGGCAGGCGGTAACCAGGGCCTGCTGTGGGATAAAGAGCAAGGGACAGAATGAGAGCTGCTGAGGATGGACTCGGGGTGGGGTGGCTAGATTCACTGGGAACCAGCTTGAGAAAGAGTGCTGGACTGGAGAGAGAGGCTCTCAGTTTGACTCCTGGTTCAGCCCCTGACTGGGTCACCTTGGGCAGCTCCCTTCCCTGGCCTCTGGCCTCAGTTTCCTCATCTGCCAGATCAAGCAGGAGACCAGATAGACCCAGCCCATCATCTCACAGAGAGGGAGGCTGGGGCCCGGAGGGGGAAAGGACTTGCCCAGGGTCACCCCAGCAGTCAGTGGCAGGGTTAAGATAAAGGATGGGAGACAGTCCTCACTCTCTCATCTCAACCCCTCTTCCTCCATTTCAGAGCAAATGCTCTGTCCTTTCCAAGATTTACAGGGATCAAAGGACCCCAGGGCTATCAGGGTCCTCATAGGCCACTGAGTCCAATCCCCTTATTTTACTCAGGAGGAAACTGAGGTACAGAGAGAAGTGACTTGCCCCAGGTCACACAGCGAGTAAGCATTAGAGGAAGGATTAGAACTCAGGACTTCAGACTCCCAAACCTATACTCTCTCCACTAGACAGAAGGGAAGAATGGAAGCCCTCCCTCACTCATGCACACAGGAAATAGGAAGTATGTTCCATTCAGGAAACACAGGAAAAAAGGGGAACGCTAGTGAGCAAAACACTAGTGAGCACACACACACACACATACACACACACACACACACACAGATAGATACATACACATGCACACAAACACACAGCACTCTGACCAATGGTGGAAAGCGAGCCTGAAGACCAACCAGGAAATGGCTTGGGATGGGGGTGGGAGTAGGGATTGCCCTGGAGGGGCCTCTTCTGCCTCCCCCACTCCCAGAGAAGGAATCAGGTGATACCAGGGCACCTTTCTCTATTCCTGATGGTGGGGATCAGGGATTGATACAGCTGTGGGAACGGGCTCCTTCCCCAACTCCAGTCCTGCACGCCACCCCCTCCATCTGCTCAACCCCCCATACCCCCATCCCCTTTGGGAGGGCCCTGCTATCTCTTAGGCTTCCCTGGGAATGGGGGTGACCCCAGGACCTTGCTCTCTGTACCCTTCTGACACCTGTGACTCCCAGAGCCAACACAGGTATCCGGCTAGGCTTCTCTGCCGCCTTCTTTCCACCCCAAAATCTCCCATTCCTTGGCCATCACCCACCCCAGGTTCCCTACGATGTATGGTGTTCCCAGTATTTCCTGTGCCTCTAACCCTCAGGTAGGCCTGCGCCCAAGCAACGTGCCCTTTCTCCTGTATTTATTACCCGTAGTGTGATTTTTTTGAACCAAAGCTACAAATTTCATCAGTATAGAAAACGCTCCACTGATACAAGTTAGCATCTACTCGGCAACTTGTATCTTAAGAATAACTTGGTACCCTGAGAAATTCAGTTCCTTAGCTAGGGTCATATAGCCAGTATGGAACAGAGGTAAACTTCCTGCCTCCCAGGATAGAGAGCTTTCTAACTAATGCTCCATGCTGTCTCTAAGTATTATTATTCTCTTATCATATTTTAATATAAGATTAACAATTCTCATTAAAATTCTAAGATCATGGTTTTAGACCTAAAAGGGACCTAAGAGGATATCTAGAGTCTAAGCCATCTTAAACTTTTTCCACTTGCAACCCACAGTTTAAGAAGCACTGAATTCTAGACCAATCCCCTGATTTTATAGATGAGGTGACTGAGAAACGTTCAGGTGACCTGTCCAGGGTCACACAGCTAGTAAATGTCTGCAGTAGGAATTGAGCCCAGGTCTTCCTGACCCTGAAGCCCGCTCTTTCCACTAGGCAACACTGCCTCGATAATCATAGTTATTGTAATTATTTCATAATATTGAAGTTGTGAATAATTGTTATTGAACGATATTGAAGTTGCCCACAATAATAGTGCTCGTAAAGAGTTTTAGCTTTTCCAAGGGCCTCCAGCTCCATCATGTCTTTTGATCTTCTTGCCAGCTGGGAGAGGGGACAGGGAGGAATGACGACCCCTACTTTACAGATGAGGTCACAAAGGTCCAGAGAGGGGAAGCAAATTGTCCCAGGTCACTCAGCGAATTAATTGCAGAACCAAGCCGCGATCTGTCTCCTGTACTATGCTTCCCACACACGGCCCTCTCTCCCCTTCCCAATTATCTCCCCACCTACTTTCGTCCCCCAATCACCCCCTCCCCAACTTGCCTGATAGGTACCAGGGACCCTGGCTCATGCCTGTCTACCTGCCCGCATGTCCTTTGTACCCCTGCCTGTGCCCAGCCTGCTGCTCCCCAGGAAGGCTGATGGAAGGGGGAGGCATGACAGGAGTGCATGGGGGTTTGTGGTGAGGGGTCCTGGGAGGAACAATAATCCCCTCTCTGGTGCTTTGAGGTTTCCGAATCACTCTCCCTAAAATGACCCCGTAAGGTAGTTTGAAGATTATTATACCATTTCATAGGGGAAAAACTGAGGCTCAGGGAAGGGAGGGGACTTGCTCAGGGTCACACAGCTAGTGAGAAATAGACCAGGAAGGAACTCCGCACCAGGTGCCCTGACTCCCAGTCTAGCATGTCAACCTTGGAAGACAACTAGAACAAGTAGTGGATTAGAGGTGGGGCATTGAGGGTGAAGGCCTGAATTCATAAGGAGACCCATCACTTGGATGCTTCAATTAGCTTGACCTGAGTGCACCCCTTTGATCTCACCCCACCACCACCACCCAGTACCACCTCCTCAACCTTGCTAGGGAGGTAGCTTTGCCATCTTCCCAACTATGGCCACGGCGACGGAAGGCCTTAAAATGAATTCCCCATCCCCAGCGCCGCTTTGGGGAAGCCGTATGACTCCTGGCCTCCCTTGGTGCCATGTGTCATCCTGAAATAAACGAGGGAGGGCAAATGGTATGATTTGTCCCAAGCACTGTAGGGACCTCTCTGGACTCCAGACCCTTCTGAAGACAGTCACTCAAGATCCAGCTGCAGAGATTTACGGCTGGAGGGGTCCAACCCAGTCATTTTACAGATGAGAAATCAAAGGCTCAGAGAGGGAAATGACTGGTCTAGGGTCACACAGCTTTCTGAGGCAGGATTCCCACTCAGGTCTTCCCCAGTACGCATCCTGAGGAAAGGAGGGAGGGGCAGCCTCAGGAGCCAGGGAATATTGGCCTTCTTCCCAGAATGATGCAGCAATCAGGACCCAAGAGCTGAGGTCCGGTGGAGTAAGACCTGTAGAAACGCCTGGCACCTTGCGATTATGAAAGATCTGCATAGAAGGCCTTCTGCCCAACAACGACACCTGGTGGCCAAGGCCAGCCTTACACAGAGCTG